TTACGTATCCTCTCTCTCTCTCTCTAAGTTCACAAACTAGTACATTCGATCTTCTCTCTCTAAGCTCATAAACTGGTAAATTCGACCTCTCTCTCTCCCCTCCCCCCATGGACAGTCAAATCCGAGAAGATGTAGGAAACTTGATCTATGTTCTGGTCTGATCAAATTCTAAAGGAAAAGTGTTGCATGAGTCACGCCCATCATAAAGGTGGACTTCGAATAAAGTGTATCCTCCGTTGATTTCACATAGATGGTGCTCTTAAAAATACCAAAAAAAAGTATTTTTAATTTTTAAAATTTTAATTTTTAAAATTTTAATTTTGAAAATTTTAATTTTGAAAATTTTAATTTTTAAAATTTTAATTTTTTTTTTCATATTCATGGTCATCTTGGCTATATGATGAATCCATAAAAATACTAGATAAAAAATCTATACCTAAAAATAAATTTTTAAAAGGGCCACATGTACATATGAATCGGCCGATTCATAGAAACCTCATCCAATTCTAAAGCTTTCAATGGTTTTATATGCAATGACAAGGAGTGTGAGAATCTATTCTTTATTCCTCTTTTACACATCACTTTGCCACTATTACTTTAGAACTTGGAATTTATTTTCCAAAGCTTTGATCAAATGATGAAGGACTTTCCATGTCACATGCCACACAAAAATGATAAAGTTTATGTGAACTTAAAACAAAAGGAAAAATGGGAAGGGTCGTTTACTTTTTAGTTTAAGAAAGTCATGATTACCTGTAGTCATGAGATTGTAAAATTTGGAAATGTAAAATTTGATGGCTAATGGTATGCTATCATTCATTCTCAGTCCCCCCCAAAAACAATATTTATTAAAGATCCTAACTATCAAATTTCAAATTTGATAGATAGGATGATTATGACTTTTTTGTACAAAAAAATATATGATTTTACTAAATATTATCAGTTCATATTTGATAGTTATTCGTTTATTATTAAGGTTACTTTCATCGTTGTTCTTGATGTTTTGGTTGTTATAATAATTTTTTGGTTGTTTGGTTGATATATTTCATTGAAGCTAAGATCATTACATATATTTCATTATTGGTTTGTCTTGTGGGAGCACATGGTACATTTATTCCCTCCTGCAAAAAACCTACTGAAAACAATTTTTTTAAAAATATAATATAGAATCCACCTTAGAAATAAAATATAGAATCCACTTTAGATACTTCTAATAATTATGGGTGTGGTTTCCATAAGGTTGCAACGTTAAAAATTCCAATTAAGGTACACCTCCAAATTTTATTATAACAAATAGTTTTAATGTAAAATATTTTTAGGATTATCTCAAAATCTATTTTTATATCTAATTGTAAAATTTTAAACTCCAAAAATGGTTAAAATTAAGTAGATCTATAAACATATGGAAATCTTGAAAATAGATGGTTTAGATAAAGTGTTGTGAGATGCATTATTTTTAGGACTCAAAATTATTTTTATTTTTCATAGTCATATATATCTCAATATCGAGATGATCAATTAGAGTGTTTTTAACATTAAAACAACATTTTCCGATAGATTTTTGAGGTGCATATGTAGTTCTACATTTTAAGGTTGCAACCTTATATAAACTTTTTCCAATAATTATATCTTTTCAAAAAAAAAAAAACTTTTTTCCAATAATTATACCTCCCAAACATTTGAATTAGGATGCTATTTTTCAAGCCTTTACATGGGGCATATGTTTGTTTTTAGTTGGAAACCAAAATTTGAGTTTTTAAAAATACTTCGGGTTTTGTCTAATGGAGGCCACCAAAATTTGAGTTTTTTAAAAGTACTTAGGGCTTTGTCCAATGGAGTGACTCTAGGATATGCCCTGTGGAAACCTCTAGTTTTTTGGCTTCATTCATATAACCATGAACCACAAAATACTTTATACTTTTTTGAATGTCAGCTTGCTTTATTTTTATAGCAAATGATATTGAGTGCAATTGATAAGTGAAGCTTTTGAATCATCCTTCACTTTAGTTAGAAGCAAAGCAAAGGGGAATCTTGCCTTCTTTTCCTTTTCCCCTTTCCCATTCTTGTGCTTTTGAAAAATTTATTTGTATGGAAGGTGGTTTGGAGATTGGGGAGCTGCCCCCCCTCCCCCAAAAAACAAAAAACAAAAAAAAAAAAGAAAGGTCAGCACAATGGTAGACCTTAACAACACATTCAGCAAAAGTCCATCGACATGTAGAATGACCAATCTAACCAGGTTACAACATTTATTGTTTGATTTTATTTTAGGGAAAATTTTGAAACTACCTATATGAAATCGACTATTTAGCATTTTAAACATATTTTTTATTTAATTTTAAAAAGAAGTATAGCAAATTAAGGATAGCTAGTAAGGATGAGGATAAAACATAAAACAAACTAAAATATCACTCCAAGGAAAAGATGCAATTAGAAAGTTTATTAGGGATGATCTTTTTAAATAAATTCACACAAAAATTATCAAGCCAAACTCCCGCAGGGGTATATTATCCATTTACTTCCTCGGGCAAAACTGGGACATCATCTTTTTTTTATCACAAATTTTGGGGATATGCTCTTTAGAATATGGCAAACGATCTCAAAGAAAAAAAAGAAAATTTAACTTGCGCTCTCTACATGCCTAAAAAACATATAATCCAAAGATTGCACCAGAACCGTTCAATTTTTGGAGGGAATGCGTAGATGTTTATGAACTCAAAATCTAAATTATTTTTTTTTCAAAATAACCATCTAGTTATAACTAGATAGATCTCAAAAGTTCAAATAATAAAAAACAAAAAAACTCCCACGCTAGTATTTTGCCTTATGGAGTAAGTGTATAAAATGCTCCGAAGCAGGCATTGTATAAACACCGAATATGAATTACCTGAGAGTGAGGATCCGAACGCTTCTAATTGGGCTCCTTTTCTTTCTTATATCAAGAAATATAAAGGCTTTAGGAAGAAAGTAAAGTTATAATTCAAAACCCAGCAAAAAAAAATGCAATTTTCATGCTAAAATGACCTTATTTTGATCATCATGACCTCAATAATTATAAAAAAAAAAACGAATTTCCAATTCTTAAAAATAATTGATCATGTAACATGTTATGTGAATAATCCATTTTTAACTAATCAGAAATCCGCCAAATCTGCACCATGTTCAGAACTTCAAATTGGAAATAGATTATCAGGCCCCGTAGGCTTCTCCAAGGCTAAAATTGGCTTTACTTTTTGCAGCCAGTCTAGACCTTATGTTAACCACAGGCTTAAAAGAAATCCTATACCCAAATTTACTATCCGAAGACTTGGCCTCTTTGGCCGAAAAGGTGCGAATCTGACAACACTGATACATTGTGCTGAGACATGGATCCTTGCACTTTATAAATTCTTTGAATAAACCCCTGAATGGAAGAATGGATACGCAATCTTCAGAAAAAAAAAATAATAAATGAAGTGTTGAGGTAAAATAGGATGAGATACATTGTATTGAGCCTCACTGGAGGATAAATTGAAAGAAATCTTTCACGAGAAAGAGCTTTAAATAACTCAATAAGTATGGGCGATCTCACTATCTTCATAAGGATGGATAAAATCAACATGATCATTTAAGTATGGATAAAAATCAACAGATCCAAGCACCATGTGATAAAACTCATGCCAAAAACTCTCTGATTTTCCCTCCTACAGTCGAAAAATTTTCTCATTTGTGCACGTGCATCCCACATACAGATGTGTGTGTGTGTGCGTGAGGTTTGGGAAGAGGCTGAGATAAACATGAAACACAATATCAGGAAACATGAACCGCAGCATGATACAAGGAATAAAAGTAAACTAGCTCTTATTATAATGTATTTACGTATATATTTAAATTTAATTTTGCCCAAGGAAATGTGACCATGAATTCCACATGATCACCAATTAAACAGATCATCAATTGCTAAATGTGTGTACAATGACTGTTTTCTTTTTCTTACTGTTGTTTTTTATTAATTTACTGTTGTTGATATTGATAATTTCATCTTGCATGCCTGTATATAAAATTTTCACATAGTAGGTGCCTTCGCAGCCCCATGCTTGCAAGCAAATCCCTGTGTCCGGTTCTTCATTTCATCTCCAGCCACAAGAAAGAAAGCAGTATGCCTACACACACACAGTCACATGAACAAGCATAATATTATGCATGGACACACGTGCATGCACAGACACACACAAAACATGCATACATATACCACAAATTTCATAGTATGCCTGTGAGTTTGTGTTTGCCAATGTTTGGTTTTTTACGAGTGTTTGCAAATAGAGTATTGCAGGATTATCCATAGGGAAGTATGCCCACCTGAAAAAGTTCTTCATTTTAAGCTTTGAATCAGGATCTATGTTTGATGTAGTGTCTAGGGCCGCATTCATGTGGTGTAACCACCTTTCAGCTGCTTGGTGTGTGACCGGGAATGGTCTGTGGCGCCCAATTAGGGCAGGATGACCTAAAGAAATCATATTTTAAGTCCAACTTGTAATAATAACATATGATAAGGAGAAAATGGCACCAGCATTATGC